ACTCGAAAACCACTTCATTTAAGTGAAAACCCTGGCTAGCCAAGTTTATGCCGTTTCGCGTGGTTTTATCAAACGACAAAAAACGAAAGGTGGTTTTTAAAGTGTTTTTGATGGAAAACTATTTAAATGTGCCCAGAAGTAAAAACCAATCATAAAAAGTTGAAAAGCACTTGGTTAGTTTGGACGCCAAAAACCAACGCCGAAAACCGAATGCCGAACGCCGGTTTCTGAAACCCGAACGCCGGATGGCTTGATTTTTGGTTTGGGCGAACACCAAGTGTTTTTAATGTTTTAAACATGTTTGAAAAACATTTTTATGATGTGTGAAATGCAATGAAAAGAATTTTAGCCTAAAGAGCCAAGGTGTAAAGGTTGGGTCGGTCTTGATCACAATTATGACCGACTCAACAACACTAAGACTACGGTCTTCGTTCTTGGTCTTCTTTTGGGTCTTGTTCTCTTGCTTTCTTCTTATATTTATTTCTCGCCTTGTATATTCAATAACTTGTCTCGTTCACGGCGGTTTGGCATTATCAAAACCTGTCATAAAAACGAACACGGCTTTAGTACGAAAACACGATAAACCCGTGTTTCAACAAATAATTGAAATGAAATGATGGGGGTTATGGGGGATGGAAGTGGCATGGGAAATTAAGGGAGTTAAATGGGGAGTTAAAAATATTTATTTACTCCATTATGTAAAAATCTGACCTGAACGGTACGCGGTTTTCCCCCCGAACGGGTCCGAATTGAGTTTCATTTGCGTTTTTGGAATCAGACAGTCAAAACGAATTTAATGACATGTTCAAATAATTTTTCTAAGGATTTTATTTTCCCAACTCTGGTCCGAGTTAGTAATTAATTAATTAAATTAATCAATTCTAATATACCAGGTTGCAGGGCGTTACACAAGCCGTGCAAGTTAATTAAAGCATGCCTCACAAATGAGGCTTTTAGGGGTATTTATAAGAATCCTAAGCACGTCAAGCACGTCTTTAATCTTCCAGCCAGTCAGTTCACTGACCGGGCCCTTTGTATGCCTTCGAGAGCCCGGCCAGACAGCCCGGGTTGACCAGGTTAGGCGGCGTTATATTTGGTACCTCCCAGTTGGTCCGACCTACCGGGCGGTATCCATGGGTTATTACCTGTAACACCCCAACCCGCGTGACCCGAATACAATGACCAGCGGATCGGGTTGCTACTAGATTGGCATTCAGACACAATAATTTTCAAAACAATTTAAAAACATTTAATTCAAAACGATATTTAAATATCCATCGGAGTTCACAAAATGGTGCGGAAGCCTTTAAGTATTTAATCAGAATACAACTTTGGGTTCTTGCCCTTAAAAACATAAATAATTCAAACTTAAATATTAAGCAGATAACTCCTCCAGCCAGCATCCATCCATCTCTCTGCCCTCGCTGCCCTCCAGGATAGTTCCTTATTCATCATTCATGTTACCTACGTGTAGAAAATAGGAAAAAAGGCTACACGCTCAGCATTGAAGCTGAGTGGAATCTATCTAACGTTCGACTACGCACATAGACGAACCCACTAGCTCATAACTCCATACAATATCATGCACACAAGTATACAATATAATAGAACATAACAGTCACCAAATAAATTCACAAGTCACAAATCATTACCTTATTTCCTCTGTATTCATAGCTCATAACACAATTACCAGACTACCTACCGCCATGACTCAAGTCTACTTTATTTAATACCTTATGACACAACACAACCTGATGACCAACGAAGGAGTTCTCCGCTGGGTGGGTGGTACCCCTGTCCCCTTCGGAACGACAGTTCTTGGATCCCGTACGTACGTTTTAACCCGCAGCCGCCAGATATCAGATCCGCAGGGCTGATCCTATCTATTGACATTTATGCTTATAATCTTACTAAGGCAGTCCTAGAGTTCCCCAGGGTAGCATAATCATTTATTTACAACATCTCTATAATTCAAGCTTATTCCAGCAACAATCTCACTTCCTTATTTACTTCCATAATCCAACAAGATTATATTTAATCATAACAATAAATATATCATTAATCAGACAATAAATCATACAACTCAATTAGCGGCCTAATGTCAGGTGTAACACCTTCTACTTACCGTCACGCAAATCACACAAATTCGAAGTAAGAAAACGTACCTGGTCATCCTTGTTCAATCAACTCCAACAATAACATATAATATAATTAAATCATAATTCAATTGTAACAAATAAACCACGTAATCAATCATACGAAACTACGAACATGAATTTCAAATCTATATACATAATCTAGCGTTAGATGTGCAAGTTCTGACCTCGATTAACAGACGGATTAAATTAATCAAATCAAACGAACGAAACGTCGGCGAACGGTGACTTGACCACGGAGCAGCGGCGGCGAACACCGCGGAGTGGCCGAGCTGTTTTTCCGGTGAGCACAGCAGCAGCGGTCAGCGAGGAACAGTGGCGACGTCCGGCTTCGTCGGTGCGTCTGGTGACGAGTTCTCCGTAACAATTCCTTGGCCGTGTGGGTACCCCGTATTTATATAGATGCTAATATTACTTGGTTTCCCTTTTAGATTAGGAATAATATGGCGTACGGAGTATTTATTTAGTAGCTAGGCCTAGTTTTGTTATACGTGTAGGATTAGAATTAGTTTAATATATTATTATTATATTATAAAATCTTTACATTTATTTGTTGAACTGAAACGTCTATTTTACTCACCACGCTTTATACGTATATCCGAATTTAACAAACTATATACCGTTGGTAACCATTTTACGAGATCTATCTGAAAACCCAATTTTCATACAAAACGGGCAACTTTACAAATAATTCATATTTTAGAGTGAATAAATATTATATTTATTTTTATTAAAATAACGGCTAACTACTAAGCCAGTTTTTGGGTCGTTACATTTCTCTCCCCCTTAAAAGAATTTCGTCCTCGAAATTCCTTAGTCTAATGCCTACTCAAAACACATGCACATACAGTTCACACACACACATGCACGTAAGGAGCACATATAAGTCAACTAATCGTGATCAAGTTAAGTTATGAAGCGTACCATTATGAACGTCATTATCCTGAGGGTCCGCGTGCCCTATCATTGCATAAGTACGCGCTGGAGCTCGTCCTTGTGGTTGATTTGGGTTCCTCTGCTGATTTGTTCCAGCAGTCGTGCGTTGACTTTGCGTTAGCTGTGGCGTGGCGGTTTGACCTCTCACTGGAGCGGTTGGGAAAGGTTCGCCAGGCTTTGTAGGGCAGTTTCTACGAATGTGTCCCGGCTTACCACAGCCCAAACAAAGGCCTTGGGCAAACCAACACTCTCCGGGATGATTTCGCCCACAAAGTTCACATGTGGGATGCCTTGACGGCTTTGACCTACCACTGGAGGCCACCGATTGGGCAGGTGCTGGTTGGACCTGCATGGACTTGCTTTTCTTTGCATGAGATGCCTCACTTGCCTCGCCTAATGGCCTCTTCGCACTCGGCGTAACACTCACAGTTGGGCGTGTACTGGGTCCTCCTTCCTCGACCTTTAGGCTGGCCTTGTAATCATCCACATCTTTTTCTGCTTTTGCCATTAGATCATAAGCCTTAGAGAAGTCTGTAGTGGTCAGGATGGATACATATGGTCGAATGTCGGGACGTAGCCTCTTACGAAATTCTTCAATACGGTCGGCCGGCGTGGCTACCAGCGTAGTCGCGAACTGGGCTAGGTGGTCGAACTTCTGTCGAAGCTCGGGAAGAGTCATGTCTCCTTGCTTTAGTTCCATAAACTCCGTACGTTTCTCTTCTCTGAAGCGGGCTGGTATATACTCCTTCTTGAATGCCCAATCAAAATGCTCCCATGTCCAAGGCTTAGGCGCTTTCTCGTCTGCGCGCTTCCACCACTCGTATGCTCCCTTACGAAGGAGCTGGAAAGCAAGCTCAGGACGTCTCGCCTCTGGAACACTCAGATTCTTCAACACTCTTTCTGTCTGTTCAATCCAGTCTAGTGCAATCTGAGGATTAGAGATCCTATCCCCATGGAACTCTTCAGCACCATTGTCCTTCAGCGTTTTCAATGTGATTTGCCTAGGAGGCGGTGGAGGCGGTGGCTAGAACATTGGCGCGTTCGCCATTTGTTGCAGAAATTGCGTCAGGAACGCAGGCATAATCGGGTCCGGTTGAGCCTCCACATTTTGTTCCATGTTCTGGGTCTCGTTTTGGTTATTCGACGCTTCGCTCATTCTATACAGGTCAAACTTTTCTAAATAAATTCTAACATATAGTAAACAAATACTCAAGTTTAAATACCTTCCTGGGGCAGAGGAGTCGTGAGAGATGCGGATGCTGCTGCTGAAATATCTTATAAACAAATCACCATTTTTTAAAAAAAATCTTCTTTTTTTTTGAAATTCTTCTTTTGAAAGGGTCCGAAGACCAATTTTAAAACCACTTGCTCCGATACCAAAATGTAACACCCGATCCGCTGGTCAATGTATTCGGGTCACGCGGGTTGGGGTGTTACATTACCCATCAGACACGAATATTTTATTTTATCAAATAATCAATGAAAATATACAAACAAGCAAAAGTTATCAAAAGACTACAATAGTTGTAGAAATAATAAAGCATGCTTTACTATTTCTACATGGTATCAAAGTCTTTGCTCTTGGTGACCTAATAGTTTTTGTTTCAATCACCGTCTCGTCGGTGGTTTGTCCGGTGATGGTAGCCTCACCCCCCACTTGTACCTCCTTTTATCCTAATTCCTTCTACAAAGAAAAAAATTCCTAGTCAACCACATTCGTCTGACTATAGATTCATCACCGTCGCTTCTTGACTTCAAATTAGATCGTCACCTCAGTCTGCTCATTCGACAAATCTTTAGTCAACAGCATCCCCAACAGCACCTCGTTCCTTCTATTTCTTCTCTAAATTAGTCGTGCACGATTCTAGCGCACACCAACCTTCTCCCTCCATCTTCGACACTAGCAACACAAGTCTCTTCGTAGTGGCTCTTCTCCTCTCCCCCCTCAATGCTGGTACATCTCTTTCCCGTCAATCTTTCTTCTTATCTTTTGCTCTGGATTCATTCCTCTAGCCGAATATGTGCTTCTAGCTTCTCATTACGATTCTGGTCATGATTCAAGTTAAATTTGACGTTAAATCTTCATTGCCCAAGACGTTGGGTAGCATGTTGGATATATTTATTTTTTTAATATATTTAATATTATATATTATAATTATGGTTGTTACCAATTATAGCTAGTGTTATTATTATACAAATTATCTTATTTAGCTAGCCATTAATGTGAATAATTCTAGAATACTCCAACTCCACCTATATTCATCCAAATCATTCAAGGAATAAAGAATGTTTTATTATTTTTACAAATATTGTGGGACTAAGGAAATAATCTAAACCTCAAATTTATTTAAAATTATATTGAACTTTTAATTAAATTAAAAAAATCAAATTAGAAGGATAATTTTGGAGTAGTCATTCTACTCCATAGTTGCCAACTCAATCCACCCGTCAAATTTGCTGGCCGGGTCAGCTAATGCGTAAGCGCTGATTGCCAAACAAGTCATAACTGTATATTTTTATCCGGAGTAGTCTTATTTTCCAACCCTAGAAAATCCATTAGATTTAACTCCACGGATGGAGTTTTTCTGGCTGCTTGTTTTGTGCTAGAATCAACTGGACCACACGCGTAAATCTCCATTTCATAGTTTCAATTCGCGTTCCAGCTCAAGAAATCAATCCAATTTAGCCTCAAAGAGCTCGACCCTTTCGGTGAGAAGATTGGGTTTTATTTTATGCTTATCCCACTAAGCCGTCTGCGTATATTCCTCAATTTATTCGCCTTTCTGTTGTTTCAATAATTTGAAGGTTAGGGTTTTCACAGTTGACTGCTCTTATTTCAATGAGTCTTTGGCGAGAATCGGATTAGATTCTTGTCTGTTGTTGAGAATTCTGTTTCTGTTTGATTTTCTTGTTTTCTGTTTCCTTTGATTGATTTTTTTTCTCATCATTTTTAAACTTGATTTGGGGGTTTGATCTTCATTGTGCTGCGTTTTGCGGTGCAGACAATTGAGATAAACCTATTTGTAGAGACACTTGGACTTGGGTTTTGGTACTGAGGAGTTGAGGGCAGGACTCTTAGTATCTTAGGAAAGATGATGTCAAGATCGTATACAAACCTCTTAGATTTGGCTGCCGGGAATTTTCCAGAAATGGGGAGGGAAAAGGAACGCAGGCGGATGCCGAGGGCGATGACAGTTCCTGGTAGCATCTGTGAACTTGATGATGATCAGGCAAACAGTGTCGCATCTGATAATCCATCTTCACTTGTATGTGATAGGATGATCATTGTTGCTAATCTGTTGCCCGTAAAAGCGAAACGGCGTCCAGATAACGAAGGGTGGATCTTTACTTGGAATGATGATTCAATACTATTGCGGATTAAAGATGGGTTGCCAGAAGAAATGGAAGTACAATATGTTGGATCTTTGTCCGTTGATGTTGACCCAATCGAACAGGATGACGTTTCAAACTATCTTTTGGAAAAATTTAAGTGTGTTCCAACGTTTCTCCCACCAAATTTAGTGGAGAAATATTATGAGGGTTTCTGCAAGAAACAGTTGTGGCCTCTTTTTCACTATATGTTGCCATTTTCGCCTGACCATGGAGGTCGCTTTGACCGTTCTATGTGGGAAGCCTATGTGTCCGCCAATAAGATTTTTTCCCAAAAAGTGATTGAAGTTCTTAACCCTGAGGATGATTTTGTTTGGATTCATGATTACCATTTGATGGTGTTGCCGACATTCTTGAGGAGGAGATTCAACCGGTTGAGAATGGGGTTTTTCCTTCATAGCCCATTCCCTTCTTCAGAGATATACAGGACACTTCCAGTCAGAGAAGAAATCCTCAAGGCTCTTCTCTGCTCTGACCTTATTGGTTTCCACACTTTTGATTACGCCCGCCATTTCCTCTCCTGTTGCAGCCGAATGTTAGGCTTAGAGTATCAGTCAAAAAGGGGGTATATAGGGCTGGAATACTATGGAAGGACTGTAGGTATAAAAATTATGCCTGTTGGGGTACACATGGAATATATTGAGTCAGTGATGAGGCTTAGCAATAGAAAGAGCTTGCTCAATGACTTAAGCAAGCAATTTGAAGGGAAAATTGTGTTGCTTGGAGTCGATGACATGGATATTTTCAAAGGAGTCAACTTAAAACTTCTGGCGCTGGAGCACATGCTCAAACAACACCCAAAGTGGCAGGGGAAAGCCGTGCTCGTCCAGATTGTTCATCCTTCCAGAGGGAAAGGGATTGATTTGGATGAAATTCGGGCTGAGATGCAGGAAAGTTGCATGAGAATCAATAAGGAATTTGGAAACCCTGGATATGAGCCGGTGGTTTTAATTGACCACCCCATCTCAAGTAGTGAAAAAATGGCATATTACAGTGTTGCAGAGTGTGTTGTTGTTACCGCTGTAAGGGATGGGATGAACCTGATCCCCTATGAATATGTTGTCTGTAGACAGGGAATTTCCGGTGCAAATGAAGAAAATTCTGGTCTAGATGGGCCCAAGAAGAGCATGCTAGTGATATCCGAATTCATAGGGTGTTCTCCTTCATTGAGTGGGGCCATCCGTGTAAACCCGTGGAATGTTGAAGCTACTGCTGAGGCAATGAATGAGGCGATATCAATGGCTGAACAAGAGAAACAGATGCGACATGAAAAACACTACCGTTATATTAGCTCTCATGATATAGCTTATTGGTCTAGAAGCTTCTTGCAAGATATGGAGAGAACATGTGTAGATCACTTTAGAAAAAGATGCTATAGCATTGGTTTGGGATTTGGTTTCAGGGTTGTGGCTTTAGACCCCAACTTTCGGAAGCTCACAATTGATGATATCGTTGCAGCCTATGTCAGGGCTAAGAGCAGAGCAATATTGCTGGACTACGATGGCACTGTTATGCCCCAAAATTCTATCATCAAGTCTCCTAATGATGGAGTCATATCAATCTTAAACAAAATATGTAGTGATCAAAATAATACAGTGTTTATAGTTAGTGGGAGAGGAACAGAGAGTTTAAGCAGGTGGTTTTCTCCTTGTAAGAAATTAGGGCTTGCTGCAGAGCATGGTTATTTCATGAGGTATGATTTCCTCCTTAGCTTTACTGCATTACAAATGTTTCATATCTGTACATAAAGTCATGATGATGCATTTATATAACTGAAGGTGAACATGGATAATTCTACTCATGTCTCTTGGAAACAGCCTCTCTACTTTCGAGTAGAGGCAAGGTCTGCTTACACACATCCTCCCCAGACCTTACAATCATGGGATCCAAACTGGGTTGTTGTTGTTTTTGCTTCACCCATCCTTCTCTCTGCCACTCTGATTTATAAATTTTTAAATGTATACCTAGTTACTCTCTCCTTTCCAAAAAAGGAGTCTTATTTGTAATATTGAAATTAGCATTACAAACAAAAACTCTTTTTTTGGGACATATGGAATATTTGTTATGATTACCAATCCCTCTGTCCCATTGGCAGTTTGGCACGGAGGTTAAGAAATTAGAAGAGTGTGTTGTTGAGGTTTGTTTTAAAAGAAGTGAAAAACTGAAACACAAATTTCCTTCATTGGGACGAACTAAAAAGAAAAGATTGGAAAAGCCTGTGGGAAAGAGGAAGTATTATATATTAAATGTACTGTTTATTAATAATTTAAAATGCTGTGTTCTCAAAACATGTTTTTCCCTTTTACTCCCTCCCATCCTAAAATAAAGCTTACACTTCCCTTTTTGGGATGTTCCAAAATAAAGTTTACAGTTCCTTACTTTTCTATGAAGGAAGGTAATTTGTGGCTCACATCATTTCTCTCTTCTAAACAAATTTCAACACCTCACTTTTTACTTTTCAACACTTCTCTTAAACTCGGTGAAGTCAACTATAAACTTCATTTTAGGACAGAGAAGGTATATATTATTGGGAACGATATTGCCTAGTTTGACAATGAAGCATTCTCGGTTGACTTTGGCTAACCTTTTTGGTTTGAAGTATGCTGATTTAAGGACTCGTAATACACAGGTGGTCACAAGACCATGATTGGGAAGTGCCGTGCCCGAGCTCTGATTTTGGATGGATGCAGCTTGCTGAACCTGTGATGCAATCTTATACTGATGCTACTGATGGTTCTTCCATTGAGAAGAAGGAAAGTGCTATAGTTTGGCAGTATCGTGATGCGGATCCTGGTTTTGGGTTTTCTCAGGCTAAGGAGATGCTTGATCATCTAGAGAGTGTTTTGGCAAATGAACCTGTTGCTGTAAAGAGTGGCCAGTTCATTGTTGAAGTCAAGCCTCAGGTATGTGTAATATATTCCTGGTTTGCCCTGTTTTTGACTTTTGGTTGTTGAGTGGTGTTGGCATTTCAAAATATTCTCCCTTTTAAATAATAATAATAATAATAATAATAATAATAATAATATTATTATTATTATTATTATGGTAGGAGAACTTGTATGCTGATCAGACTTGTTCATTGTTTTCCTCTTCAGGGAATCACCAAAGGGTTGGTTGCCGAAAAAATATTCACATCAATGGCACAAAAAGGGAAACTGGCGGATTTTGTGCTCTGTATTGGGGATGACAGATCAGACGAGGATATGTTTGAAGTAATTGGCGATGGTCTCTCGAGAAGTATCCTCTCTCACAACACAAAGGTTTTTGCCTGCACAGTCGGGCAAAAGCCAAGCAAAGCAAAATACTATTTGGATGACCCATCTGAGGTTGTTCTCATGCTCGAGTCCCTTGCCGAATCAACCGACACCCCGGTGGCGTCTGATGACGAAGAAGCAGATAACTCCTCTTGAAAGATTGGTCAGAGGTCATTTTATTCTTTCTTCTCTTCCCTTTTTCAGCCTTGGGTCCTCCTCTTTAAGTGCATAAAATTCATGGTGGATGGTGAGGTGTCCTATAGGGGGGCCCTACTGAATGATTTTAGGCCTATTATTGGAAGTAGATGATGTAGTTAGCTTTCCATTCATTCTTTCTTTGCCCTTTTTATTATTCCTTTGCCTCTTTTTCTGGAAAAAGTGAACTTGTTGATTGTAGAATTTATGTCAATCTTGAGAAAAAAGAAAGGAGGGCAAAGGAGACTTTCACGTGGAGGGCACCTGCTGGCTGGCTGGCTGTTGAGTGATGAGGAAAAAAGGTCTTATTCTTTTGGAGTAGTTAAAGCTGAACTCAGTAAACATATGACTTCTGCAGTGGTGGTCAATGTACATCAGAATAAAACATTTGGCAACTGTAATTCTTTTCCTTAGTTTCTGAAATGTAATTCTATTTGTCAAACATTACATTGCATTTTAATAGAACAGCTTTCACAGGAACACCATGGAGTAGATTTTTTCTCTTTTGAAGTAGTAGTCGTTTATAGAGTTTTGTTTTGGTTTCGTCTCTGCTTGCTTCTAAGATACGTTGTTTGTGTGTGTTCCTTGGCATTGCCTGGAGTGGGCGCTAATCTTATTAGATATTCTAGATTTCATGTTGATATCGTTGTTTCTTTGCAAAACTTCTACCAGTGGAAGTTTACGAGATTCTACGGCAATCCCTAGAGAGATTAAAGACATACTTTTTGGAACCTATTACATTCGGAGAAGGACAGGTTCTCGCTACCATGGATGGCGATGGAGGGACTTAAATGATCTTAGAGCGGCATCAGCAAGAAAAGTGGTAGCCTCCATCCCTTATTCTATTATTGTGGGTTTTAACTAGGCCCTTAGTGATTCTGATTTATTTGATTTGGGCATGCATGACTATTCTTTTACATGGGAATATGGAAGGACGCCAAACTGCGTGGAGGAACGACTTGATAAGGTTGTGGTGTCTAGTGTGTGGAAGGACTTTTTTTCCGCATGCGTGTGTGTGAGATAAATACTATCATCTGGCTCAAATCATACGACTCTGAACTTCTTCCTAGCTAGACCTACTGAGGCTCGTTGTATCTGTCACTTCCATTTTGACATTGTGTGGTTATGTGACAAGGCTTCGAGGCAATTCTTTAGGAGGTATGGAGGGGGTAAGCATGATCTTCCATCTTAGAAAGATTGGTGTTCCGTGGCCGGCGCTTTATGGAATGAAGAGGTGATACATTTCAAAATTTTGGGAAGCGAGGCAAAGAGCTGCAGGATACGTTGCAGTGGCTCTGTGGGCGTAAGGATGAGGTCGAGGTTAGAGCTTTTACAATTGCGAAAGCACAGTTGAAAGGTTGATGGATCTGGAGGATATATTTTTGAGGCAACATGCAAAGCAACATTGATTTTGGTGGACTGATGCTAATATCCAGTTTTTCCACCAATATGTCTTATCGGAAGAGGAAAAGTCATGTTCATGGCTTGAAGGATGTGTTCGTGAATTTGTGTTAATGAATATTTGAAGATCATTTTACTCAAAAAAATTTCAAAGATTTTATGTTTCAAGGGGCAGAGCCTAAAGTTTTTGGGGTAACCGGTAAATAATATTGAAGAAAGAATGTATGTACAAATACAACGGGCATACCTGTGAGCAAGGGCTAGGCCGAAGCCACCCCGATCAAGCAAAGCAAGCTAAAGCAGTGGTGCGCAGACCAAACTAAACAAAAGAAGGCACGCCGACCAAACTAAAGGTCAATACAAGCATAAGGCCAAAGACGCCCAATGATATTGTAAACCATAACTTTAATTTTACAAAAATGGACATAATATCAGGAGGTTTATGATAAAAACAAACCTCATTCCGGGGTTTCCAAATCATAAAAATGGTAGAAGCACATGCAAGCTTCCCGATCTTCTTCTTCATTGCATCTCCCCTCGTGTATGTGCGCATCCAACGAAGAGCCCTGTCCATGGTAGTGACTAGTGAGCTTCCCTTCAACCTACATCCAAGAACGGATGTAACCCCAAATATGTCTAGTCACCAAGCACTCAAAGAACAATTGGCCAGTAGTCTCTAGTTCGACTAGTTCGACACCACAAAGGAAACATACTCTTGAAAAATCATTACCAAGAAATTTAAGATTAACCTTTGTAGGGAGTCTTTTATGGAAAGCTAGCCATAAGGTGAAGGAACACTTTGGTGGAATGAAAGGTTGCCAAATGAAAGTCATCCAAGGCTTCGGGTTAGCATGAACCCCAAACAAATCATAGACTTTCCCCGAGAGGAGCTTACCATTCACGTAGTAGGGTTGAATAGAAACTTCAAGAGAGGGGGGGGGATCACCAAGCTTAAAGACGAGCAAAATTCTGATTTATTTCAATCTTTTGAATAAACAAGAATCATTTTCTTAGGGATCCGAGTCTAGACACACTTGCCCTTAAGATAGACATTATGAACCCATAATGAGTCCTTTTTGGCCGCTATGTTCCACAAAACCTTACATAGCCAGGCATTGTTCCACATAATAGGGTCTTTCAGTCCCAAGCCCCCTACATTTTTGGCTTACAAATGTCCACCCAAGCAACTTTGGCGAACTTACTACTCCACAGGAAGTCACGACATAGGCAAGTGATACGATTGAGGACTGATTAATTTGAGGCTTAGTAGAGAGTAGAAGTGGCTCTTCTTCAACCTTTTTCTGACATGGAGAATTAAGACTCCCTTTTCTCTATACACCCAATAATGGCTCTTCTTCGATGTCGTTGAGTAATTGTAGGGTCAATTCATTGCTCTTCTCGACGAGGCTAAGAAGAACGAACTCGTTTTCACCGACCTACAAATATGGTACTCACAAGTCGAGGGCCATAGTGCGAAGAACCGTGTGCTAGGAGTCGGTGGCTACAAGCGTAAGATTAAAAAGTTGAAGCGCCTTCCACACATTCCCGCTCTAGAAGCAGTCAGTCCACGATCGACACCCTGAAAGAGCACAACAAATGCCTCCAGGAACAGGTTGACGCCCAAACCTCCAAATTTTTGACGATTCAAGACTTGCAGAGGTTATATGGCGGTCACCACCCTCCTCCACGAGACAATGAAGGGGCATGAGAAGCAGGGTAATCGAGCGCCATTAGTTAGGGTGCTTGAATCAGAACAAAAACCTTACATATTGATGTTTATTATGCATTTATTATACTACATTTAAATATTTGCCTTGTTTTACATTAAATTGAGGTTTTCTGGGATGATCTTTAAATAGTTGTTTGTATTTCTTGTAGAGGAATGCTAGGAATACACCATTTGGGGTACCTCATTTATACACCATCAATCTTAACCCTCCATTTCTTTTTTCATTTCAAATTCTTTTTCTTCTCTTGCTTTTGTGTGGTGGAGATGGAGGGACTACAAATGGAGTACCCCAAATGGTGTACCCCTAGCTTTTTTCTTTCTTGTATGGTAAAGCTCACCCCATTAGAAAGTTATGTTTGGAGAAAACTAGAAAACTCAAGTGAAATTAGAAAAAATTAGAGATACAAGTATTGAATAGGAGTGTATCTGCGAGGGACAAGCTCTTCGTCGCAGAATAAGAAAACATGATTGCAGCGACCTTCGTGGCACACTTCTGTCGTAGGTCAGCAACGGACTTGAAGTCCCGTCGCAAAAATGGTGTCTACTCTGCCATGTTATATTTGTTGTTGTTCCGTCGGAGATCTACTATACATCGTCATTTTCGTTGCAGATTTGGGATTATCGACAACTTATTTTCCAGGGACAAGTTCTGTTGCAAATTCGCAATCTACTAAGGGAATCTTGCTTCTGCGAGCAGGGGTGGGGTCGGGACGGTTCGAATTTTATATTGTGCCACGTTATGTCCTGTTTTTTTGAAACGGTTCGGAACGGTTAGGGTTACAAGCTTATTCCTTTTTGTCCCTTAATATTCGGGTTCAAGATAAAACGAAACAGATTTGGGGTGTCTTATTTTGTCATTATCTAAAATTAGATATAAAAATATAAAATACATAAGGGGGAGGCAACCCACTTTGACTTGCAAAGTAATAAAAAAATGATATATTTATATAGAATGTTTTTAAAAAGCCAAAACAATAAGGAAACATGAAAACATATTACTCCCTCCGTCCTAAAACTTTCTTCCCAGAGCACTATTCCAACTTCACGGGAATTTATATTTATTTGTGTTTTTTCATGGCCTATATGATAAAATAAAATATTCTTGTCACCACTTGTTTTGTTGAACTTTTGATGTAGTTTTTAAATATGTATGTTTTATTTTTTATTTCTATACCAATATTTAAATAAAATAGATTGAAAAAACTTGGGATTTTTCTTCGTTTTGCGCAACGGGAAGAAAGTTTTAGGACGGAGGGAGTACAACATAAGTCAAAAGTCAAGAGTATAAGTTTCATAAAACTATGAGCCACAAATTGGGGTAAGTCGGGTTAGAACGGTCTAGATTTTTAGGAATTCTGGTCCTAGCCCATTTTTTTAGTGTATTTGAATATAGATATTTTTTATATCTATTTTGAGAAAAAACAAAAATTGTGATATTTTGTTTGTGTTATATCATTATATAAATAAATAAATAGATATAAACATATATATGAGACAACATGACAGAACTAGAAGATATTTGTGTCTCGGTCCTATCCCATTTTAAAACGGTTTGAAACGGGTTCGAAACAAAATTTTGTCATCCCTATAAAACGGAACATTATAGAGACGGGACTGAGATATTTTAAGTCGGGACAACGGTTTCGGGATTCTTGTCCACCCCTATGTGATGGAAAATATCCGTTATAGATGCGAGAGATTCTTATAGTGAACCTTAATACTATGTTTGGCTCAAGGATTTTGAAAGGAAAAGAAAAGAAAATGGTTTTCTCTCATTTTCCTCACCAAAATGGAAGGAATTTGGTTTTCTCTCCACTTGGTACATTTTGCCTCCTCATTTTCTTTTCCTTCCACTTTTCCTTTCTTTTCCCCTCTAACCAAACAAGAAAAATGGTTTTCCACTTCATTTTCTTTTCTTTTTCCTTTTAAATTCCTTGAACCAAACATAGTATAAATGGATTCTAAAAAATTAATCACAGGAGACTGCCTGATCTTAAGTCAATTGCTCTTTGCAATATCACTTACAGATTGTGGCGAAGATGATGGCGAACTACATGAAGCCCACCCTACTTCGGGGGGGGGGGGGGGGTTGTCTCTGAATTTCAATCCATTTTCCTTTTGGGTGGACTTATTTTTGATTGCATCACAAAACCAATTGACAATGATAGGAGTAACCCACAGCAATATATTACTCTTGTAATAATGTTCTACAATATTTTTTTTATCTTCCCAAAATAAAAATTCACTTTCCATATTAGGCCAACTTTTTTGTGGCTTACATAATTTTTCTCCTCTGCACAACTTTCAACACATGATTTTACATTTTCTTAATCTTTGTGTCAGGTCAATTGTGGAACATTAATACGGGACGAAAGGAGTAGCTTTTTCTTGGGGGATGAAGGGGGTAGTTTTTTCTTAGCCTTAACACTATGTTTGGTTCAAAAAATTAGGAAGGAAAAGAAAAGAAAATGATTTTCTCTAATTTCCTTACCAAAATTGGAGGAATTTGGTTTTCCCTCCACTTGGTACATTTTGCCTTCTCATTTTATTTTTCTTCCACTTTTCCTTTCTTTTCCCCACTAACCAAACAAGAAAAACTATTTTTCACTTCATTTTCTTTTCTTTTCTCTTTCAAATTCCTTGAACCAAACATAGTATAAGTGTTTGATGTGGGACTTTATGTCCTCAACAAACACTACAACAACATTATCCCAATGCCTCAAAGGCTCTTGTCCGGTGCGGTATACAACCAGGCCCTTATGTTTAAAACATAGTGGTTGTTTTAGGATTACCCATGATGAATGAGGAAAGTTGCAATACTTCACTATTGAAGCAAGCACAGACAATTTAAGAGCCATTTTGCTTTATCTCATCATGCCCCAAAGCAAAAAAAAAGTGAATTTTTGGTTTCATACTAGAAAAATAATTTGGTTTTTAATATTACAACTCAATTGATAATTGTGTCACATCAAATTTCAAGAAGTTACTGTAAAATACTTAGATGGTGAATGATGAAGAACAAAACTTTAGTTGTGTTGATTGTTCAAGTTAGAAAAAATGGATTATCATTATGATATAACCACAACACTTACCAACATTTTATAAAAGGAGGGGAGTAATGAGCACCCAATATTGTTGCACTCCAGTGTCAAGTCACCAGTAATCTCCACAAGAGCAATGACCATTCTTGAAGTGATGAAACCTACTCGAATCGCGAAGAACAATTTCTCGCCCTTTGATCTTTGAAATGTACTTAATAGCCACGTGGCAATCGTTGCAGACTCGCAAGTTTTTCATCACCCTTATCTGGGAACCCTCAGGGGTGTTCATCAGAGCAAAAGCAATTGCCAACCTCTCACTGTGATGCAACAGGTTGTACTCTTTCTCCTCCATATCCATGTCATGCATAACTGATCCAGTGTCTGGCACATACCCACTTAGCTTCAACTCTGCAGTTAACTCCTTCAGATAACTCTCAATCTCCTCACAATGTGGATGAGATTTACTGCCCATAACAAATTGGTGAATTTGGTTCTTTAGTTCCATCCAGCTTACCCCTGGCTCTTTCTTTACCCCCCTCTCTTTCATTGCTCTCCACACTTCTGAAACCTCCTTCCACCTTTTAGTAGAGGCTTGGGTATGAGAAAGAAGCACGTACGAAGCCGAATCTTGAGGATCAATCTTCAGAACTTCTGTGGCTATCTTTTCAGCCATGTCTGCATTCTTGTGGGTTTTACATGCTGATAGAAGGGTCTTCCATATAATAGCATCTGCCTTGATAGGCATTGATTTTATGAAGGCTTCAGCCTCCTCCAAACGACCCGATCTTCCTAAAAGGTCAACCACACAGGTGTAATGTTCCAGTTGAGGCACTAACTTGTGCTTTTCCACCATTGAGTTGAAAATTTCAAGCCCTTTATCTTTCAGCCCACAGTGACTACAAGCATAGAGCACACTCAAGAAAGTGACGTTATTCGCTTCCAGTCCTATCTGCTCCATACGGTCGAATATTTCTATGGCATCTGTTCCTTTGCCATGAAACCCATAAGCAGCGATAATTGCACTCCATAAAACTGTATCTGCCTCTTTCCTCTCTTCAAACACCTTAATAGCATCCTCCAAACACCCACACTTCGAATACATACTGACCAGGGAGCTGACAACAGAAACTTCAGAGATGGCTCCGGTTTTTATCACCTCAGTGTGAATCTGTCGGCCCTGTCCCAGAACGGCCAACTTAGAGCATGAACTGATCACACTTACAAACGTAATCTTGTCAGGCCTCAACCCTGACAATTTCATCATATGATACTGATCCAAAGCCTCTTCAGAGCACTGGTTTTGTGCCTTCCCGGCAATAAGAGTATTGCAAGCAACCACATTCTGGAATGCCATCCCCTTAATCATTCTCTCCCCTTCTTCGAACTTCCCAGATTTCATGTACATGTGAGCAAGCGCGTTCGCAACAACCAAATCACCCTCAAGCCCTGCCCTCACAGCATAAGAATGAACTTGTTTGCCCTTGTTCAAATCTCTTAATCCAGCGCAAGCTCTCAGAACACTCCCAAGGGTAAACGCATCAGGCGAGAAACCAAGCCCGTGCATTTCGAAGAACAAGTTCCACGCCTTTTCATTGAACTCGAACTGGGTATACCCATTAATAACAGCATTCCAAGTCGCCAAATTTCTTTCAGACATTTGGTCGAACAGTTTGGCAGCATTATTCAGATCGCCGTTCTGTATGTACCCACCCACCAAGATGTTAAAAGACAGGACATTTCTATTGTGCATTCTATCAAACAAGAAACGAGCAACATCTAAACGACCCAGTTTTGAATACGCATTGAGGAGGTGATTGGTCACGAATCGCTCTCTGAAACACCCAGATGTGAGGATCAGGGAGTGGAGCTGTTTGGTCAATGGGAGAGACTGGATTCGGATGCATTCTTGAAGAAAGTGAGGGAAAAGCGTTCGGTTCAACCATAACTGAGCAGTGTCTAAAAAGGGGTCGGAACATAGACTCTTGATTGTGTATTCTCTAGAGCTTGCCGTTGAGAATGCCCGGTAAGTAGACACTCCCAGATTCCGCAGCAGGTGTTTCATAGAGAGAATGCATCAGCAGTTAGGGCTGAGGCCGTCCCATGCGATTGGGTTGGCTATTTGGTGGAAATAGCTATGGTTATTTTTCAAGAGCGATTTTTTTTAAAAAATAATTGTGATACCAAGATCAAGCACGGTTCTTTTACACCTCTTGCATTCCAAGATCATATTCTTTTGGCCAAAAATTAAGTTGAGCGTAACATGGTATTTAGCTCGTACCGATATCGTATCAAGTATTTTGATTCGGTATAAGAATTTGCGTCGTACTGAACTTTATTCCAAAGTATCAGTTTGGTATGGTTCGGGAGGATTAGGTATTGGTTTCGTTACAAATCAAGAAAAATATATACGTACCTGCTACCTAATTTACACTATAAAATGTAACAAAACATTTTATTTTTGAAAACTTAAAGTACATGTAAATAAAGAAAGATAAAAAATTTAAAAATGAATAATAAAATGTAAGAAATGCTTATGAAACTTAATTTATATTTCACCAATTAGAGTAATGATAACAAAATATTATTTCAAATGTTTGTAAATATTCTTATACTCATCTGCAAAAAATAAAAACTCTAATTTAAGTACACGTTTTTAATGAAATTAAACTAAATTGTCAAAATAAATTTGTTATTTAATGAAGAAAAATATAAAGATTATTATTTGTATAACGTATTAGTATACATGTTCGGTTCGAGAACTTCGGTATATGAAAAAACCTCGTACTGTTCCCAAATACCGGACCGACCGTTCGGTTCAGTACAATTTGGTTATTTTGCAGTATTTTATCGGTTCTGTATTTTTCGATTCGGTATTCTTGGTTTTTTCAAAAAATATCGGGATTGATTCGATCCTTGCTCACCCTACAAAAAATTGTTGCTGGGTGATGGGTGTATTTCACCCATAACCGGTCAAAGGTCAGAACAAGACAGTTGACCGGTCAAAGAGGTCAAGCTTGAAAGAGAGATCTAAATCATCAGCAAAGGGATGACTGGTTGACTGCAAAGTTGACCAGTGTATTCGGGTAGTATACCGGTCAAATTACTCCATCGTCTAGAACCAATTTCCGAAGTCAATTAATCAACCCACGAAGACTACCCGGTACCGTTTCCTGGGATTGGGAGGTGTCGGCAGGAAAAATCCAAAAAGGGTTGGATTATAGTGATTAGCATGGCTCAAAGATCGCGTGAAGATGCTAAGGGAATCTGTCCAAACCAGTACGCGACAAAGGGGATAATCCCTCTCACAAGGAGACAGGGCAAGTCACCTCGCACCACACCAGCAGCGTACCCCCACGTGGGCGCACGTGGTCCTGTCTTCCCAAGCCTAGTATATATACTGCTGTAAACCTCAGAAGTAGGGATGCGGATTC